CTAAATCAAGAATAACTGAGTGATTAAAGAAAGTAATAAAAATTCTTCAAGTGATATTCATTGCTAGCAGCAAATGAAAGAGAGAAGCGAAGAAATAAAAATTAAAAGTTGGTTAACGACGTTGCTGTAAGTGTGAGAAAAAGTCTATTTCGGGTAGTTTGTATATTCATCCTTTAATCAAATCCGCTTCATAATGCAGCAAATAGATATAAAAATCATTATTCACGATTAAATAATTTGGATCTAATTTCAGAAAAATATATTTGTCATGTGATGAACAAAAACATCGTTCTTGAAGAGAAAGCCTGATGTTATCAGTTTTATACTACGAATGATTCGAGTGGCTAAAATTCATTACCTATTCAACGTCTACAAATGAAAGAAAAATGTGTTCTAATTCAGAACATTTCTAATACAGAGCTTTAGAATTTTCTTCTAATGCATTTCTTTGTTCAGCTCGGAAAAAAAAGACACAAAAGCATTAGGAAAAACACATTGTCCAAGCCACTCGTTATACGGAGAACATCTTTTCTAGACTAGCCTTGAGAATATATTTATAGAGAATATATTTATTGCACCAATGGTCATCCGTACTTAAACATGCTTTGTGTTTGTTTTTTTTTTTTGTGGTAAAAACTGATTTATTTCTGCTATTTTTGTTTTCGTTTTACAGAATTCTCGACGGTAAAATAAAATTAAAATGTTACGAAGAATGATACGTTGCCTGTGTTTTATTTTAGTTTTTACTTTTGTCTACGTACGGCCAACCTCTGAAAAATATGCTTGTTGCTTGATAAACATACATCATTTCTTTTTAAATGAAATAAAAATCATGTATAAAGAATTTTACATTTAATGATGAAAATTAGCAAATAAGGTGTCAAAATTTAGTAATTTTTAAAAATTATTGGAAATTAATGTAGCATTCACTACTGTACTGACTATAAAAATGTGTATTTTCTTGAAATAATTTACCATTATTAGCGACTTAAAATAAATGAAGTAAATTTAATTTTAAGTTTATATTAAATTATATTTATTAATAAAGAAAAATAATCACTAATAATGCCATACATTTAAAATAAAACTAAAATATTTGTGTAGTTTTTCATATCATACATCGTGTTCTTTTCTTTTATTTACTTTTTTACTCAATATTTTCATAACAAAAAAGTGAAAAAACGTTATTTTTTTTAAATAATTGTTTTTTATTGAGAATTAAAAAATCAAATTATTTCTTCATTGAATGTGACGGATAACTAATATTTATTGAACAAATTCATACTCTTTGTTGTTAATATTCGTGAATGATTAACAAAATTACAATTCATTTTTAGTCCAAGAAGCAGCATATTGCAATTATGCAATAATTGTTATTGTTGGTGGTGGGACCTCAACTGAATAATATTTTAATTTATTTATATATTCTCAATATAAATTCTGTCAATGTATTCCAGATCACCAAACTAAATTACATGTGTCTTTACAAATACCAGTCTGTTGTTAAACAACACAAAACTTGAAAAATTACTTTTATTTAGTGAAAGATGCTCGCTTAAAAAGAAGGTTCATCATTTTTTTACGCGCACACACACACATTGTAACGGAGTTTAAGTAAAAACTACTAAAGGATAAAGCACGAATCTTTAAAATAATTTATTTTACTATTTATTTATACAATTAACAATAATTACATTATGACAGTGATTATCATTATTTTTAAGACTTATGAAAAAATTAGAAAATTGTATTTATAAGAAAAATCATCAACCGTAAATGATGAGCAAAAAAATATGAAAATAATGTCAAATATATTGATATGAAGAAACATTAAAAATTCTACTAAAGTAAAAATTCCAATTCATTTTTTTTTCATCAAACATAAAAAAAATCATATCCGTATGTGTTTATTAAATAGTCGAAAGAATAACCATTTAAATTGTGATTTGATTTGAAATTGCTAACATAAAACATGTGTATGTTTGTGAAACAATGATGGAAATACCATATGTAGTGCCAATTCTTTGGCAAAATAAGTATTTTTCCGCGGAACTTTGATTGGTCATCATGTCCACACCTCTTTTCGATTTTTTACTAATAAATAATTAAAGTTTAAAACGAAACGACTGTCAACCGATATTTTCTTTCTATTATTAAAAATACCCACCAATGCCATCGCTTCTTCTTATCTAATCACTTTCCTTGACACCATATAAAATGATTCTATGAAAAAGAAAATAAATAAATACTACTTACGCCTCTGAACAAAGTAGATTTAATCCATCGAAGCATGTTGTTGGCTTTTTTCTTCTTTTTTTTTTTCTTTTTTTAGTCAAATCAATTGGTAATGCCGTGAGTGTTTGGTTATGCGAACAAAGTGTGATTTTTAAAGGGATACTCCGTCCCAAAAATAACAGAAAAAAATTAAAGTAGGCCCTCTTAAAAAGGCAGACAATAACAACGCTAAAGAATAATGTTGCTATATATTAGCACTGTCAATTTCAAAGTGAAAAGTGCAGAAGACGTCCGAGATACCACCTTCTTGGTCTTCTGGTTATTATATCCGTTCATCCTTTCACCTGTCCAAGAAGAAAAGACACACCGCTGCCTCCGACGACGACGACAACAACAACCAAGGAGATAAGGATGTTGTTGTTGTTGTGAAGGTGGATGATGTTGCTTCTTGTGTCTCTGCTGTGATGATAGTGGCTGCTGTAAAGACACCCACCCAACAGTCCCTCCCAGCGGTCCGGATTAGATGCATCCCATCCAGATTTGGCAAGTGCCGACCGACAAGTTGCCTTCAATACTATGATCTTCCGCAGTCCGACTACTAGTAATAATAATGATAATAACAGTAGTAGTAGTAGTAATGGTGGTACAATTATTTTTGTAAATGCAGCTAGATGTAACTGTAGTTAATGCGAGCGCGTGCTTGGAGAAAGTGAGCCGACTGACCTCTGTCCCATGTTCTGACGTCATAGCTTCGGTCGTGAGAGTGACAGTGGTAATAATCCAATATTCTTGCTCCTAAAAATTTATACATCTTTTTCTCCACAAAAGTATGAAATTATTTACTCTTTTCTAAAGTTTTGTGTGTATTATTGCTTTTCTTATGAATGTTTTGTGCAAAAAAAATAAAATTTTCTGTTTCAAATATTTTTTTTTAAATAAATTGTTGATTTATTCATTAATTTTATGTAAAATTATTTTTTTTCTTTCATTGTGTTTTATATATATATATATATATATATATATATATACACACACACATATATATATTTATATGAGATAATGATATATATTTTTATATATCAGAAACAATATTGGCTAAATTCTATGACAAAGTGGAAAAGTTTACTTGTGACACAGTGTTTTAGTCCAATGAAGTCTTGAAGGATGAAACACATCACAATTAAACTTTTTCCACTTTGACATACAACTGATCCAATATATATATATATATATATATATGAAAATATATAGAAAATAGGAAAGAATTCATTAGGTAAACAATCTGAAGTTCTTTAGTATTTTTGTTTTTATTTTTAAAAAACAGTGCTCGATACAAAAGTAAAGCCTAAATATAATCATTTATTTAAAAATAATGCGATGGAATCATATTTTTAAATAAATAAGTATATATAATATATATATATATATATATATATATATATATATATATATTATTGGAAGATTTAGTATGAGACTGGGTTTTTTTTTACATTTTTTCATTTAAATAAAAAATTGAACATTTTTAACTTTGTTCAAATTAAAATGCTATCAAATAAAAAATTTATTTATGTTTTTAGTTTTTACCTTTGCAGTGTGACATTGACTTCAATGCTCAAGTCAGACCAAATTGCTTGACAAATGCTATTTATAATATAACAGTTTATTTATTTATTTATTAGCTAGGAGAAAAAAAAGCTTTGTTGTTGAATACCCAGAAATATCTGTTGGAAATAATGTGATCTCTTGAAACTAGACTAATATTAGATGAGAAGATTATAATTGACATTTTAAATCCAATCAGACGTGACAGCAGGTCATGAGGAAAATATGGACATTATATGAAATGAAATTCATTTTCAATTTGACATTTTGAATGTTTTTTTCATTTGGTTTCTTTATTTAAAATTAAGCATAACATTACTTGCAAGAAGATCTAATGGAATTCCAATTGTCGATTGGAAATAATATATTTTCATATTATATAAAATAATATATTTTCATATTATAATAGACAAAGGAAAATATTTTTTGTAGCTTTTATTTTGGTTGTTTTTAATTGTTTGAATGTTCTTTGAGTATAAATTTGATTTTATTTCCATTTTTATATTATGGTGTGACACAAATATGAGACTGAGTAAAGATCAAACTCTTTATGCAGTGGCCATGAGTCTGTTAGACTATTTTACTAACAATTACCCCATGATAAAGATCCCATGTAACAATGCAAAAAAATAAAGAAAATTTTAATAGATACTTAAGTTCTTAATCAAAAATCTAGCATGTTGTGAGTCAAAATATTTCAGGGGGAGGAATTGGTTGGAACAGTGCAAGATTATTCCAATCCTTGAAATATTTCTTGTTTCCAATACCTCTTTGTCATTATTTTGTCTATAGATATATTTTGACTATATATCTCAGGGTAAATTATTGAAGAGTAACTGAACCTCTAGAAATTTTATTGGTCTTAACAACAAAGATTATCCATTATTTTATGCTTCTGTTCTTTTCATATTCTTTGCCTGTATCTTCTCACTTTCTCCCTTATTCCTTCCAAACTTTGTTGACTATCCATGCGTTTTATTTAAATGTTATACAGAGATTGGTTTCATATGCAAATAATGAATGCACAAATATTTTCTATTGAATCCTTTATCTGATTTTACAACATCTCTTTATAAACAATTTTAATGTGTCACTATTTTTATACTTTTTTGCCTGTATGTGTCTGTGTGCATATATAAACTATTTATAAATATATGGTTTATGGCCACATTAATTTGAAACACCAGTTCACATATGATCACTGAAGTTAAGCAACATTGAGCCTGTTTAGTATCTAGATGGGTAACTGCTTGGGAATACCAGGAGCTATAAGTTTGGATGTGCAGATGATGTAATGGATAATGGCTGGGAATTGTTAATTTCCAATTCCAGTTGGGTTAATTATATTCACTTATGCACAAATACCCTTGGGACAGGTATTAATCCACTTCTCCCCCAGGTTATGGGTTAATTAGTAAAACATGTATCACTAAGTCATTATTATCTCTCAAAGAAAATTTCTTACAATCTATAAAGATTTTCTGACTTTAAATAACCTGCAAAGGGTTGATAAGTCATAAAAAATGAATCAACCAACAATAAATATACATTTTGTTCCTTGCTGGTGAGGGACAAAATATATAGAATTATCATTACTATAAATTTAAGCTGTTATTATACATTAAGCACTGTTTTATTACCACCAGCACTAAATAGAGAGGGAGAGAGAATATTAATACAAATATAAAATTTGTCACTTAGCTGATTGATATTATATTCAGCTATCACTCTGACTTCAGAGTTTTGTAGATAAACCTTCAGGTAATCATTTGATCCACTCATCAGGAAGTATCAGTAATTGAATATTGATTTTTTTTAAATTTTTCTTATTTTTATATTAAGTTAAAAAAATAATTTATGTGCTTTTTATTTGTGTTAGCTTGATTTTTTTCTTCTTTGTATATGTATATTTGTGCATATGTGTGTTTTCCTGTACATGTGTTTATGTGCACATGTGTAGAACATTGTGGTTATTTCTTCTTCTTATATATATATATATATATATATATATATATATATATATATATAATATATCAAAGAGAGATGCAACTAAAAAGTTTGTGGAACTTAATGCAGGAAATCATTCCCTCAAAGAAAAAAAAATTGATTAAAAATTAAATTCTTTATTTTTTAGAGGAGTGATATTGAGAGACGGGAAAAGTCTGACAAAGCATGAGAAACCTTGGTTATATGACAATCAAACAGATAAATCAATCTCTTCAATTTTCCCAAATTACACACACAAAGAGTTAGTTTTGAAAAGTTCTCAGCTTAACCTACTTTCCAAAATCAGTATGCTGATGTTTTGACATTGAAATACGGGTTCTGGGAATTTGGTAAAGCCAAGAACTTTTCAGCACCCCCTTCCTTTGTGGAAGGATAAGTTTATCATTATACATAAAATTGCTGTTTGCTTACATGGACATTTGACAGAGAGAAATGTTTAGTAAGCTCATCTGACAGACTAAACTATTTGTATTGCAAGTTTGAAATCAAGAAGATGCAGTGAGTTGCTCTCCTGAAAGTTAGCATCAGCCATGCTGTTCGAAGGCTAAAAAGGTTCTTTAAGATGATTAACAGTAGTTTCATTTTGGAACTGTTAAAGTTAAAAAGCCATTTCTTGCCCAAGTTAACAACAGATTGAAGGCCATTTTTGTGATCATCTGCTAATCTGATTTTATCAAACCTATCAGAATTACTATAAAGACAGAAGTAAATAGTTGTGTTATCAGCATAGATACCAAGTTGGGAACTAATGACATCAGGAAGGTTGTTGATGAAAATAGGAAACAAAGCAGGTCCAAGAATAGGGTTCTGGCAGACACCTGTATTAATGCAAAAAGATCTAGTGGCTATTCAAGACAAATTAAATAATGGGTCAATTCAAAAGTACTTGGATCAACAGATACCTGAAGAACGCTGAAGGAAACAACGGCTGAAATATTGTGATAATAACAACAAAGATGAGGACATTAGTCCAAATGTAAATAATGCTTCCAACAACCCTTTGATTAGATTATAACCAACATTAAGTTTGGTTTTAATGTTAAAACATCATTGTCATTAATTAAGGACATGCCAGCAATACTTCACAATACCACCAAACTTTGTTGGGCCTTCCCCACAATGTAGAATTATCTGAGTGTACTTCAGCTCAATCTTTGGGCCTATTAATATCTATCTCAAAGCTGAAATGATAATAAATCTTCAGTATTTCAAATTGTTTTTCAGCCATGTTTTCTGCATTTTGCCTGCAAATCTTCATGGACACTTTTTGATATTTTCCTTAAAAGGAACTTTTAACTTTTTTAAATTAAGCAGTCCGACAACAATAGAATGATGACATTAAAAATCTATTTGCAACTTGACAATGATTATCACTTATCATCAAATAACAATGTTTATTACTGAAAATATCACTCAGAATATTCCTCCTTTGATAAAATAGCTTATGTCTATATCTCGTTGAAACACTAGTTCCCATACAATTACTAAAGTTAAGCAATGTTGAGCCTGGTCAGTACCTAGTTTGGTGACCACTTGGGAATACCAGGTGTTATAAGCTCAGATGCATGTGTGGTGTAATGGATAATGACTTTGAATGAGAAATCAGAGTGTCAGGTTCATTATATTCACTTACATGCAAATACCCTTTGGGAAAGATACGAACCCACCTCTTCTACTCCCAGCTTTGGGTTAAATAATAAATATTATCTCAAAAAAAAGAATTCTTACAATCCCAAAATATATTCCAGCTTTAAATAACTTTAAAAAAAATTGATAAGCCATAATGAAAACAAATCAATCCATATTTTAATTGGTGGGTAGCATTAGGGTTATTGGTGCCAAATTCATATTCCAGGTGAGGATGTAAATGACATGAACCAAACTCTTCTCTCTTCAGCTATGAATAAAACAGTAAGGTAGATTGGGCTTTCTAGCCTTGGTTAGTAACCAGTCTAAAAGGACAATGATAAATTCAAAACCATGGAAAAAGAAACAAAAAAACAATAAAAGGCATGAAGAGTATATATATATAATATATATATATATATAGTACAGGTAATAAATCCATTGGTATATAATCCAAGTGAATCCTAATAATATGAAATCAATGTATTTATTATAACAGAGCATATAAATTAAACAACAAAATACAAAATTACCTCATATGGGTAGAGATCTATTTCAACCAATGAGAAGTGCGTTAGTCTTACTCAACCCCAATGGATGGACTGTTTTCATGTTGGAATTAGAGATTTAGAATTTAAATTTGACAGCAGTCGAAAAATTGATACAGAACCTAACTATATTGATGCCTTAGACAGACAAAATGCCCAAGTCGGTGGTAAGGAGAGGGTGGAAAGTATCTGTCTTAAAGAGAAGAGGCACTGCAAATTCAACCCAGATATTAACCTATGAACCTAATTTTATTTAAGGACCACATACCTAACTTCACTAATAGTATACAGTATAGATTAATAAATCCTACTAAAACTGAACTAGGTCTAATCTCCAAACATATAATAAAAAAATAACTGATAAATTACTAATTATAACCTGTACTAATCTTTAGAAGGATTCGTCAGATGTAATCAAATGGTTTACCAATATGAGTGATAAGGAAAGAGCTACATTTATTAAGTTTGATATAATAGATTTTTATTCCTCCATCTCCAGGGATCTCTTAGTTAACTGTATTAACTTTGTGAAAAACTATATGGAGATGACAGATGGTGAAACTAATATCATCTTAACTGCTTGGAAATCACTGTTAGCACTTAATGATTCCACCTGGACTAAATGCCTTAATGACAATTTTGATGTTCCAATGGGAACATATGATTCAGCCCAGGTTGCTAATTTAGTATGCTTTTATATTTTAGATACACTTAGTAGAATTGTAGATCCTAAACTAGTAGGCCTATATAGAGATGATGGATTCGTGTTCATCCCCAATAGTAATGATCCACTAACTGTGAAGTTAAAAAAGAAAATCATTAGGGCCTTTAAATTACTAGGGTTTAGGATTAAGATCTCTTCTAACCTTAAAATAGTTGATTATCTAGACATCACCCTTAAAGTTAATAGTAAAACCTTTAAACCTTACCATAAAGAGAATGACCCCCCCGACCTATATTAATATTAATTCTAACCACCCCAATGCTATTGTGAGACAGATATGTACTACTATTGGCGCAAGAATTAGCAGATTATCATCCAACATAAATATCTTTAATAAAAATAAAGAATTGTATGAAAATGCTCTCCATAAAAGTGGTTTTAAAAATAAATTATCTTATCTAACCTCCATATGTAACACTGAAATAACTAAAGTGGGATGTAGGCATAGAAATAGAAAAAGGAAAATTATGTGGTTCAACCTCCCCTTCTGCAAGCTATTAAATATTAATATCGGACAGCATTTTCTAAAGTTAATAAAGAAACATTTTCACAAAAACAACCCTCTAAATAAGATCATCAATAGGAAAATGATTAAAATTAGCTATTCCTGCACCAAATACAAGCAGATTTAAACTTCTATAATAATATAGATTTTACTTTATTACATTTTCATTTTCTAACTCTTCTAATGTTGAATATATATAACTATATTATATTTCTTTATTTTCATTTCTTCTCCATATTAATCATATCTTTTAACTGTTCCCTCTTTCCTTTATCACTCATACCTATTTTTCCATATACTTTTTTAGTTTTGGGTTTTTTTTTTAAATATAACTTAGTTTGGTCTAGCTTTCTTAAGATTTTAACTTATCTTTAAAATTAGAAATGGATAATTTATTTTATCTTTAAATTTTTTTTCCTTTAATATAAATTTTTTTTAAATATATTCTTACCTAATATAAATTATCTAAATATGATTGACTGTTAATCTTTTTAATATATTTCATTTGTAGGTAAATTTTGTTTTTTTAAGTGGGAATCAATTTTTTTTATATATAATAAACCCCTTTTTGGCCGTCCTTTAGTATCACTTCAACACCTCATTCTTTATAGAACCTGTTGTAACCTGGAAAGGGTTACTGAATGAAGAATAACCAAAATGGAAGTTAGAAATAAGATGGTAATCTTTATAACATCAACAATATACAATACTCACCAGCAGTGTGAAGTAGGTAAACCACTGCTAGTGGTGGACTACTTATACAACATATTACCCCCACTTACAATGGTGTCCAACATATTTATGAGGATTGGGACATACATCAAGCTAAATTGTACAGCACATAACCTCTGTGTTTTTCACTTCACCTGTAAAAAAAATTAACTTTCAGATGAATACAACAAATTTGTCTGAGAAAAATGATATTGATATTGAGCACTTTAACCCATAAATGTAGTATACCTTAAAACTATATTTTATCTCATATATATATATTTATATATATCCAATGCGATGAGAATGAAAGTTCATATATAAATTCCAACATTCACGGCATTAATCCAAAAGAGGGCTCGATACCAATAGGAGAGCAATAATTATTTATTTATTATAATTTTATCATATAGACAAAACCATTTTACTCACTACAAAGATGCAACTTGGTTTCAGTGCATTTCAACTGCACTTTGACGGGTGAGAATGCTTAACCAGTTGAAATGCACTATAGACTGAACTATGATCGTTTAAGTGAAACGTAAGACTTCTCATCATGGTCCTTGTAATGAAACGAACATACATATTATTAACACTTTTGTCAGAGATGCAATCTCCCAAAGAACATTTAAATTGATATATGTTGTTGGTCTTTTGTAAGACACTAGTCGATGGAGCAGAGTTGTTATGAATGACTAAGTTGGTTGTATTAAATTTAGTATAGTATATAAATTACTTATTTACTGGTGTCAGTGCAGGATATATTAGTGTTTATGAGACTTTTAGAATTTTTTCATCTTGTTTATAGTTAGAAACAAAATATAGCAAAGCCGTACAACTTCTGCATTTAGTGGCCCATACTAAATGGGGAGAAAATTGATTAACATTGATCAAATTATACAGATCACTACTTTAGTTAAAACTGGATTATGCTAGTTTCGTATATGGGGTGGCCAGAAATCTGTACATAAAAATTCTCAATGCAACTTATCATCAAGGCCTCAGATTAGTACTCAGGACTTTTAGAACATCTCCACATTTATGGTGCACTAAACTGGCACTACAGTACTATATAAAAATAGAATCGTGTCCAACTAATCCAGCTTACAGCAGTATCTTAGAATAAATTGTAGTAATTTGGTTCAAACAAAAAGATAATGCTATACAACTCCATTGCTGAAGAGGTAGGCGCCACACTCTCAAATATACAAGAAACGGCTGCAGTCAGTATTCCACCATGGACTATCAAGCAACCTGAAGTTCTGCTAGAATTACATAATCTCCCCAAACAAAAAATGCACCCATTCACATTCCAGGATAAGTTTCAGAACATATTGGCAAGCTTCCCCAAACATACACCCATCTATACAGATAGTTCAAAATGTGAGGACAAGATAGGATGTGCAGCAGTGAGCCAAAATATTATCAAAAAAAGGTACCTCCCAAAGGGAAGCTCTATTTTCACTGCAGATTCTTAGCACTCAACATTATTTCAGAGAGCAAATAAAACAATTTTCTATTTTTTTTTTAACTCACTATCTGTCCCTTTGGCTTTGAAGGAAAAAAAATCCAACAGCCCACTTACGAAAATATTATGCAAAATGAGCATTATTAATAAATATTATGCAAAATGAGCATTATTAATAAATATTATGCAAAATGAGCATTATTAATAAATATTATGCAAAATGAGCAATTATTAATAAACATAAATACATCAAAGTATGCTGAATTTCTAGCCACATCAGAGTTAAAGGTAATAATGAAGCAGAACTAGCAGCTAAAGTAGGACAAGGTTCAAAATCCCATACACAGATTTTAAAGAGGTTATTAATAAAAACATTCAAAAGGAATGGCAACGGTACTTAGACAATAACTCACACAATAAATTCTTTGCAATTCAACCCAAATTAGGAGAATGGAAGTCAGCTCCCAGAAAATCTTGCAGGGAAGAAATGGTACTGGCCTGCATACTCATTGGCCATACAAGAATAATCCATTCATACTTTCTAAACAAAGATCAACCAGTATGGCAAGCATGTAAAACAGCATATCCTATTAAACATATATTAACTGATTGCTAATATCTTGCTCTCTCTCAAGATAAAAATATTATAACATAAACAATGTGTATAAGCTGTTTGAGAAAGTAAAAGTGGATGATATAATATCATTTCTTAAAACAGTCGAACTCTACAAAAAATTATAAACCAAATGAGAATGTCAAAATCAATTTCTTTACAAACTGTGTATCTGAAAGGAATACATCAATGAAAGCAGACTCTCAACAACAATCCTCTTTACAAATGTATATCAATGAAACTGGATCTACAAACTGTTTCCTTACAAAGAATATTTATTCTATTCATATGAATCTGTTGTAAAAATCTTGTCAGCATTAAATAACTCATTAAGGTTGATATGCCATAAAACAAAACAA